AAAAAAAAAAAAAAAAAAACAACAATACAATTTTTTTATTGTAAAAATCATTTCAACTCATTCAGTGCAGTGAGTTTTACTTTATTACATGTTTTCATTAAAAAATTTAAAGTATTTATTATATGATTATAAGTTCTGTTTTTATAGATGAAATGCTCTTGTTTTATACAATTTTTTTGTGTAATTTAAATGTCTATGTTCACTATCTTTCTCTTTTGTGTTATTACATTAAGACAATCATGAATCTTGTTAATTAATCAATATAAAATGTTGAATCACACTGTCTTTTTTATAAATTCAAACTCTGAGCTGATTAAAGATAATATGCTGATGAATATTGAAAGCATATACATGAGTTGTGTGAAGCAGTTGTAAAATTCTTCTATCTATTTATGCTTTGTAATTGAAAAACATTCATGCTGTTACAGTTGTTATATCTTAAACAAGAGCTGTGCTGCTCTGTTTAAGTGTTTTTATAAAAAAGATCAAGTCTTGATTAACACATTTTACAAGATACAGCTTTCTAACAACATGTCAGATAAAAAGTTTACATTGTATTAAACTGCTGTTATAAAGTTTATGCTTGACATTCAGATCTATGAAGATGTAGAGAGTATGTTAATGTTCTATATAAATTTAAACAATCTATTGTCTTCATAAGACAAAGTCTTTAATTATAACAGTGTTCTCAAGAATGCTTTCACTCAGTCTATTAACTCACTGACATTAATCTTGTTAAGTCAATCTCTTAGCACACTGATTATGAAGATCACTGTCACTGAGAACAAGAAGACTGACAAGCTGTCTGAGATATTAAAGCAGAATGTAAGAGCATATTGCTATCACTGTATCTGTCTTTTAAAAAACTCTCTCTGTCATCACTGTAAATCTGTAAAAGATTAATAAAAAAAGTACAAGCATTGCTTCATAATGAAGCATGTCTGCATCTTAATAGATTTCAGTTTTATAACATTGCTCTTTTATCATTAATATGTTTTAAATGTTAAAGAAAGTCATTAAGAAAGCTCAAGCGATCATCAATGCAGCAAAGAATCTAGTTTTTTTTTTTTTTTTTTTTTTTTTTT